CCCCCCCCCCCTGTCCCACCAGCTTAGATTCAGAGCCTCTGCAGACTCCCTGCTTCCTACTCACGGGGATCCTGTTCCTCCCTTCCCCTTCCCTTACAGCAGAACCTATCTCTGCCAGACAGCCAGCTCTGCGACCCCACGTCCACAAACAGCCCGAGAAGACTACCCGAGTCCGGACTGTCCTTAATGAAAAACAGCTTCACACCTTGAGGACCTGCTACGCTGCCAACCCCAGACCCGACGCCCTCATGAAAGAGCAACTGGTAGAAATGACTGGCCTCAGCCCGAGGGTCATCAGGGTCTGGTTTCAAAACAAGCGGTGCAAGGACAAAAAAAGGAGCATTATGATGAAGCAACTTCAGCAACAGCAACCCAATGACAAAACTGTAAGTGGCTTCACCCTCCGATGGGGCTTCCCAAAGAGAAACGCTTGGGCTATGTCCAGCCCGGGCATGGGGTCGGTTTTGACGCTTTTGGTTTTGTGGGAGATCCCTTAAAACAAAGAAAACGATAATTATTATCCGTTTGTTTCTGCTGTCAGTGCAATTAAAAAGGGACAGCAGCGAGAAGCCTATATAAGCTGCTCAAGCGAACACACGTCTTTTTGTGGGGCTAAGGATACGCAGTGCATTAGACTGCTCTGCAGCATGGATAGGGACCTGCAGAGCTTATGGGATGCAATAAGCCCAGCTTTGTGTAATATTTATATTGCAAATGCAAGGGACTCCTTGAGGGAAAAACGACACTTTCGCCCCCTTCAATGGTTTTACACAGAAGTAAACCCAGAAGTCAAACCCATGAGTAAAAGGGAAATTTGAAGTATTTTATTAGCACTTTATATCCTAGATTGTGTTTGTGTGTGTTTGGCAGTGCACTTACTGTAGAAAAAGATAAATGCAATGCAAAAGTTTTGGAATTACTATCGTGTTTACACGCTAATATATATATATAGTTCTCGCGCAGAAATATATTGAGTTCTTCTCTGTGGGCATATGCACGTGTGATGCAAACAAGCGGGAAGTGCTGGATTCAGCACAGCAAACTGGCTGTTCCCTTTTTAAGCCAACTTTTTTCTTTTTCTTTTTATCTTTTTTATTCCCACCCTTCCCCCCCCCCCCCCCCCCCTTGTTGTTGGTCCACTTGAAGAAGAGTCTGTTATTCTCCTTGTGTATAGTGACTGACCAGAGAATGACTATTAATTCATAAGGCTGCCTAGTTAAGTGGAATTTAAGGAGTTTCATTTTACCCTGTTGGAATGCAATAAAACACGATGTTATTAACTCGCCTGAACAATCTATTCGTCGAGGCTTGGAGTTATTTTGTACACAGTGCCTGCACCACACGGTATACTGGGAGGGCTGGGATTTCCTTTTTTTATCTTTCTTTCTTCTTTTTTGTTTTTGTTTTTGTTTTTGTTTTTTTTTGTTTTGTTTTGAAAGAGCGTGGTACTGACGTACCCCAGGTTTACCGTGCAGTGGATATACGATCCAGTTAAGGTCACGCAGAACAAAACCAGTCTGGATGCGATATAGAAAGGCAGCGTGATTAACCGTTTCTGGTGCCGAGCCGTGCATCGGCAGCCAAAACACAGAGTGCTAGCGTTTAAGAAAACTTCGGGCGGAGTGGGTACGCCTTGAGAGGAACAGGATTAAAGGGAAAGAAAGTAAACTTCCACCGTGAAAAATGCAGCGGGTAGAAATAGGCTGACCTAGAGTAGAATAGAGCAAGACATTCACAGCAGATTAACAAAGCAAATACAAGCGACTGTATAGATAAGATAGAAAGCAGTTTATTGACTCTGCGCTTATACACAATAAAGTTAACCAAGCTCATTAACATCTTTTGCTGGGCTGTTTACAGAATATCCAGGGGATGACAGGAACTCCGATGGTGGCTGCTAGTCCGGAGAGACATGACGGTGGTTTACAGGCGAACCCGGTGGAGGTGCAGAGTTACCAGCCGCCCTGGAAAGTACTGAGTGACTTCGCCTTGCAGAGTGACATAGACCAACCTGCTTTTCAGCAACTAGTAAGTGTCGGATCCCAGCCGGGGCAGGCCAGCCTGTACCCGGGGCACAGCAATGGGGGATTCCCTTTAAACGGGATGCCCTCAGAGAGATGAGCAATCCAGACTAGCCGTGTTTGGCTGAAATTGCAAGGTGGGCATGATAGCACTCCGTAAATGTGGAGAACTGAACTGATTTAATAGGCCTTGGGTGCAAAATACGACCCCAATGCGCAGCCCTCACAGAACTGAGTGGGCGATGCGTAAGGCCCGAGCCAGGGCTGAGACTAACTCAGTTCACACGCTGCTGAAAACCCAAAGCATCTCTATCCAGAGAACTGAAACATTCTTCACTTGTCATTCAATTCTACGTACATTTTTGAAAGCAGCTTCTAAAATTCGCCCTTCCCCCCTTTGGGCCAATTTTGCTTGTATGCGATAGGGTGGATTTTAAATATATGATTATGCCCTTGTTTTGTCACACAAACATGAATAGCTACATAAGTCCTTGTTTTAAGACCATGCCTCTAGGTATAAAGTTATTACATATATACACACAAACATATACATATATTACATTAAACGTTGTGCTTTGGGAAAATGTGTCGTTAGTACATATTCATGTGAAAAATTCAACAATATAATTAAATGCTTTAAGCAGAAGGAAAACAGTTCTTTTAGAATAAATTCTGTTCTTAACTCATTTCCTTATGCCTACGCCATTTGGCAGCTCATATGGGATCATATCATCCACAATACTTAGGCCCAACAAGGTGAATTAAGGACAGAAGCTCAGCCTTAACTCAGTTTCCTGGCCTAACTGTGTTAAAACCAGATCTTTAAAATAATAAGGTAGATTATGAATGTTTTTTCTGTGATTCAAAACCGTACTTAATGATGAAAAATTAGCATACAGATCCTTTTTTACCCTGTTAGGCATCTTTTTTTTGACATGAAGTGATAGAAGGTGAAGGTTTGTAGCTGCGCCTGGAATTGTTCTCAGACCTTTTCAGTTTAGTGTCACGCTCTCTTGCAGGATCGCTTTTCTTTTACCCAGTGGCAGGCTGCAGCGTGTTTACCTCCCCTGGCACACCACGCTCGCTCAGGAAGCTGTAGCATAGCAGCAGAGCTGTTTGCATCATCTTACCTTTAGATCAACCACCGGTTTTCCTGCTTTAATCAAGCTGTCGAACAGACACAAGAAAAATTGATCTTCTTCGGCTGCCTTACTTATTGTGCCTTACCAGAATAGGGGACTTTAAAAACCTTTCATGCAATGAATTTTTGTATGGAGTAGTTCTGAAAAAAAAAAAAAAAAAAAAAAAAAAAAAAGGGTGGAAGACGGATAGCTCAAATACGCACACAGATGTAGGTAGATAGATCATTAGACAGACAGATGAATATTGATGTATATTGGACATAATGTCTGATACTGAAAAGAGTTAAAATAAAGGATGGTGGATGGAACAGACAGTTCATCGACCGTTCAAGGCACGTCTCTAATCTGGAAAGGGCCTTAATCACAGGATCGGCCAGCTAAATAGGTGCCAAAGAAATGCTTTTGGATTAGCAAAGCTCCACCCTTCAAATCATGCCCTTTCCCAACGCTGCTCCTAAACTAACGGGAGCCGCGGGGCACAGCAGGATGAAGTGTGACCTTTTTTATCAAACTGACTCTCGTTAAAAAAGAGATAGCACCCGCTTCAAATCCCAAATGAAAGAGAATGGCTTGTTTCAAATGCCCTGTGCTCCTGGATGCTCCTTCCAGGTTTATTTTAGTATGTGCACAAAAGGGGAAAAAAGTAACCTTGCAGTTTCGTGTCAAAAAAACACATGCACTCTTAAATAATTGACTAGAACATCCTGTTGGGATTGCCACTCTTGCAAGACAGGGAAGAAGGCCTCATTAACAAGTTTATTTGCTTGATTGTTCAGTCTTTTTTTTTTTTTTTTTTTTTTAAACATGCGGGTTGGGTTTTTTTTTTGTGATTTGGCCGAAGACAAGAAGAAGATTCCTGTGAAGTCAATGGGGAAGCTAAACAAAGGGACAGCGACACAGCCTCTCGTGGAGATGTATCAGGCCGTTTCACTGCATGCCTGTGTATTTATTTTTGCATTCTTCTTTGCCTTGCCTGCTACTTTTCTTTGATTGTTACTGTTGTAACAACACTTCTTCTTATTATTTTTCTTCTTTTTTTTTTTTTTTTCTTTTTTTTTTTTTTTTTGGCAGGTTAATTTTTCAGAAGGAGGACCCGGTTCCAATTCTACTGGAAGTGAAGTAGCATCAATGTCCTCTCAGCTGCCAGATACGCCCAACAGCATGGTAGCCAGTCCTATTGAGGCATGAGGAACGTTCATTCAGATTTCTGTTGTTGTTGTTTCTGCCCTTACCCTCACCCCTGCTGGAGAAAGTGGGAAAGTGATCGCGTTGGGACTCCGAAATTTAGGGGGGAAAAGTATTTAACAACCCTGTAATGAACCTAGCAAGGAACCACTCCATGAAACGAACGGAGTCATGTTTGAAAAGACAAGGTAATATGGTAGCAACACTGTGAAGACAATCATGGGATCTTACTAGAATAAACACTAAAAAAAAAAAAAAAAAAAAAAAAAAAAAGAAAGAAAAAAAAAAAGAAAAAAAAAAGAAACCCCGCGCTATTCAATGATCAGAGGAGGATCGAAAAGACGTTTTCAAAACGTAAAGGATTTGTACTCGTGGATCTCAAAAAAAAAAAAAAAAAAAGTGAAAAAAATTATCTTTTCATTTGACTGCACATCTTAGAGAGAAACCAAGGTAGAGGGGCTTTCTATCTAGTCCCTCCCAATCTGAATGGTGCTGTTTCTATATTGGTGATTGCCTTGCCAAAAGGAGCTCCAGTAGGTTTTCCATCATCAGGAAAGAGACAATTTAGTCCTGCACTGTTGAAAGATTCATTGCAGGAAGGTGGAGCTGCATTGGTTTGCAATGTTGTTTTTAGTTGACTCTTAACAAGGGGATATTTCCTGGGTCTCTTCCAGCATGTACTGTAGCGGGGTTTTGGTATTGTTTGGTTGAGACCCAGTCTCTATTAAGTCTGAAGCGATTAAAAATAGGTTTTTGAATTCCTCTTTAAAAACCAATTTATAAAAGCATTGCAACAAGGTATACCTCTATTTTGCCACAAAGCGTCTCGGGATTGTGTTTGAAATGTGTCCGTCCAAGAACCTTCCCCTCCCCCAAAGATGTGTATAGTCATTGGTTAAAACGACTGTTTTTCTCTCTTTCTCTTTCTCTTTCTCTTTCTCTTTCTCTTTCTCTTTCTCTTTCTCTTTCTCTTTCTCTTTCTCTCTTTCTCTCAATAAAGAGAAAAAAAAGTAAAAAAAAAGTAAAAGGAAAAAGAAAAAAGAAAAAAAAAACTTTTTGTTTGCTCTTGCATTGCAAAATTATAAAGTAATTTATTATTTATTATCGGAAGACTTGCCACTTTTCATGTCATTTGACTAATTTTTTTGTTTGCTGAAGTAAAAGAAAAAAAGAAAAAAAAAGAAAAAAAAAAGAAAAAAGAAAAGGTTGTACCGTGGTCTTTGAATTATATGTCTAATTCTATGTGGTTTTTGTCTTTTTTTTTCTTAAATATTATGTGAAATAAAAGCGCCATATGTAGAATTATTATATCTTCAGGACTATTTCACTAAATAAGCGTTTGGAATAGAGAAAATAATAATAATATTAATATTAAATAATGAACAAAGTTCCCTCTTTTAAATATTTACAAGTTAGCAGCTAAAATACCTGAAATAAAATATTGCATGCAAAGCAGGTCGTTAGTGAATAAAAGGAGTGTGATATTTTATTGCAAGTATTAACGACCAGCTTGTAAATTTCCATTTCAACAACTATATCAGGGCTAGTTGGATGCCTTAGCTTTCAATCGATAACGTTAGAAAGTCTCTTGTTGCCCCCCATCCCTTGCCCTTAAAAGTGATATTACTCTAGGCATGATCTGACATAACGTTAAGACATCTAAAGAACTGAGAACTCAGGCTTTTTGCTGAGTTCTATTATTTTTTAAAAATAATAAAAAGAAAGTGCTGTATACCAAAGCCTCGTTGTTGAGATTGTTGAAGTGACCTGTATTTTAAGTATAAGCTCCTGATAAAAGGGACGCTTTTTGCTTAACAAGTCAAGTATGACCATTATTTATCAGTGTCTGCTGTCAAAACGCTTGAAAAAATGCTGCAGGAGAAAAATTTTGAGGGGATATTGCTGTGAAATTGCACGAATAGTGTTCCTTATTTTCTGTCGACTTCCCTCTCTTCACTCCCTCTTTTCTTCCTTTTTTAATTTGCGGGGGAGAGGGTGGTGAAAGCTAGAAATGTGGGCGATTTCTTGGGGAAAAGCAGAAAGGAGGGAAAAAACAAACCCGTAGGAAAGGGTTGTTTTTGCTCCAATCCAACTGCTCCCTGTGCTCCCGACCAGCACAAGACAAAGGCTCATTTTAAAAAACCTTAACAACTGGAATATACAGAGTTTTTAGTCTGACAAAGACAAGTTGGTTTGCATGACGGTTACTCCAAACCCTAATGTTTTCTTAACATTACCTTCTTTTTCCTCCCTCCTCACCATCTCAGCCCACCCTGAGTAAGCTCATCTATAGAGATAAACCATTTCGACAGTACAGAGAAAATAATAATAATTAATAATAATAATAATAATAAAGGTTAAAAGTCTAATACAAGGATTTCAATCATCCTGATTAGAAACTGGATTCATTTTGTATGCTCAAGTGTAATACATTTTTGAGTACTTGATAAATATTTAAATAAATATGAAATCTACCTTAAACTGTGTGATCAGTTAACCCTTGTGTTTTTATGCAGGATCAGAGGCTTGGTACGACGCTTCGGGGGGCGGGAGGGAGAAAGGGTGTCGTTT